CCATGATGCACCGGCGTGCCAGCTGGTGGTCATGGTGAGGGCCCCTTCCCCCAGCCCTACCCCGAAGGTCCCTTTACAGTCCCCCTAAGACGATGCTGCGGACAACGCTGACGACGAAGACCGCATTTCCGCAAAGGGTTGTTAACCTCCCCTAAGGTCCCAAACATGTTTTCCATGTTTTCCCATGCTTTTCCATGTTTTTTCCTGCAAGTCTACTCAACACCGGCTCGCTGCCACGCTTTTCTATTCCTATATCTGGTTTATCAGTAATATCAGGCGACGAAGCCTCTTTATTTAGGTGTCGACCGATTGCTCGAATCCGCAAGGGTTAATCCCTTTCTCCGTGTCTGTACACCCTGACTCTAAGCTAAGCATTTTTGGATCGCATGTGAGAGTGAAATGTGACTCATTGGAAGCATGTAGAAAGCTGACCTGATTGAGGTGGTGAGGTTTCATGTCATCTGCAAGTGCAGAGGAGTGCGGCATGGCTGTGGGACCGCGCGCAACGAAGCTACCACAGCTAGGGGATACAGGGACTGATCAACCTGGCTTGTCTGCTTGTACAGAGTGATGTGCAGTTTTCTGAGCAGTTTTCTGGAGAAGCGTGAGTCAATCATGTGAAGCATCAAAGACGACAAGGGATGAGGGCAGCGTCAGGTTGTTGACAGTCATGCGCTAAATGTTGCTATACAGTCATGTTGGACTATTGGATGCACGTGCAACATGACGTTGTTGCCAGGCATGTGCACATGTACAAGCAGGCCCCCCCCCCCGATACGTTCTTCAAAACGGGAAGCCAATCGGTACAATTTCGATCCGTATGTGACGCCTTAAATCTAGGGAAAGTGCGTGTCGCGTGTCCGCATTGTGATAGGCAGATTCCTATACGTTTGAAAAGTGCACGTTACACTACTGGCCTCCTCATTCTGTCTCATTATTGTAGAACCGAAAAAGTTAGTTGGTAACAAGAGCCAGGCTAAAGCAAGCCAAGCACCCTTCTGTCCAAGCCAGACAGAATAGACTCGGAGATCATGTCTATCTTCCAGTGGAAGGAGAACCAGAATGGCAGCAGAGCCATCATGCCAGCAAAGCCGGAAGTTCAGCTGGAAAGCAAGAAAAGTCACCCAGCAATATTTGCACGAGTAACACAGGCTGGTACAGGACTTTCGGCTCACTTTGCCGGCTATTCAGAACACAGCAGCCTGCTTCATTTTTGCAAGACTTCAGCGTTCAGGTGTGTTTGTGTGCTGCCTTGTGCTTTTGGCGCACATACTGCAAGAACATCGCCTAGAATCCTTGTGAGTACCGACGGCAGACGGGTCTTTGATGGTCTTTGTTTACATTTATGGGCTTTCCCCATTTAAGTGGGAAGGGAAGGAAGGGAGGCGGAGGGGCTGGAGCAGGGGGCGGGGAGGAGAGGGTAGGCTCTTACGGCAAACTATCTCGAACCATCCACCTTGAAGTCCGATAGACCTGGCTTCTGGACACCCTTCCTGAGTGTGGACCCGGAGGCCAGTGCCAGCGGGCAGAGCTCCCGATAGGATGCGACATCTTTTCGGGCGTTTTTACTCCTGCTCTGCTGAAAGGTATAGTCCCCCTTAAGTAGATAGAATATGGGGTATCGGAGGTGGTTAAGGGCTTGGCTTGGCTAGCTGAAGCATCGAATCATGCGGCTTCTTCTGGCCCGATCGCCTTGCGAAGTTTTTAGGGCCGTGCCCTCAATCGAAAGCACCTGAATTGAAGGAAATACCGCCTGCAGCCAGCTGCTGTCTGGAGCAATAGGGACTCTTGCTGCCTGTAGGCGCGTAGCTGCCGACTATATATTAGGACTGAAAGGCAGCATCCTGCAAGCTTGCAGCCCTTGTCTAGCAACTAACTCAGCATTTTGGAACGATGTCCTTTTTGGGAAAAAGCAACCAGCAATTCGCTTCAGGTGCTCTAGGCTTCAGACTGGTCAGTAGCCCCCTGCGGAGGAAGACATGATTCATCATGATTTCGAAAGCTTCCGCTTGTCACGCCGTGGGAGGACAGGCAACCATACCGCAAGAAGCGACGACAGCCTACGTAACCGTATCTAGGATATCTGGATGCAAGAGCTGACGGACCAGTGCTGCGTTGTTGCACGGACTGCTCAAGCTCTCCGAGCAGCGTGCACAACCGGCGTACAGGGAGGCCTGCGCAGCACGGAAAATGTGGGAAATGCTACTAGCAAGCCATGGACCTTGTGAAGCTACCGTCATAGGCCAGCGCTGTCAAGGGAAGAGCTCGAACAGAGTCCTGCGCTCATCTGCGCGAAGTCATACCAGCATTTATGGACTGACCTTTCCTTGCCAAATGTGCGAAACTCCTCGAAGTGAAATACCTGCATGCAGGCAGACCACGGCTAAAGCTTGTGCAGCCGGCACTTAGAGTGCCAGTATGTCAATGCAGTTCCGCGAAATTGGCAATCAAGGGGAATAATGAAATGCTGAATTGCGTGCTCAAGATATGGATGAACGGAACATTTTCAGCTGCAAATTTGGGGAAAACCCTTTTGCTCGTCTCCCGCTGCTGACCAGGATGCTAGAAGACAAAGGTTAGATTTTGTGAAGAGCATGCCTCCCAACACCAGAAGCATGCTAGTCAAGACTGCAAACAGCTTGAACATAAGCAGCAAACTCTCAGGGTATCTCCATTTCTAAAGCCGCTCTAGCCGTCCCTGCAGTTCGGAAATCGCAAATGAAGACTTTGCGAAGCTGCGGATGTCACGGGACGGCATGATAAGGCAGCTCCGAAATGCGTTGCGGCTCAACTTCACCTCTTGCGGAGAATCTGTGATGCACGTGGTCGTTCGATTTTCCTGTGATTACTGCATATTGGGGCGGAGTCATGCTGGCATTTTCAATAGCAAAATCTGATGCAAATCGCTGTATTTTTCAACAGGCCCGCAGCCCATAACCAGGCAGTCGTACGGCTGCATATGGTTGCGTCATCTGCTCACGTCTCTCTCCAAAGCCTGCCTTGATGCAAGAGAGTGTTTGCGAAGTTGGCAGCGTGATGTATGCAGCTCATGACATGAGAAACCTCAAAATCGCAGAAATTTCTCGGACTTCCTGAAAATTCCTTCTCGTTCCTGCATCTACAGTTTCATGGGCATGTGTCCATAGGGCCCGAAATTCTACCTGATGTTCATGGCGCGGAAATCTGAATGAGAACCGACGAAAATGTCGCACGTATTCAGATCGCAATCATTTCTAGTGTATTGCCGATTCCTGCCGACAAAAAAAATGAATCAAAGCAAAAATCTCGCACTCCAACTGTCGACGAATATCGGAGGGAGAGCAGGTACACTGCGGGTTGTCCCTCACGGCATCAGCGCTTGCAAAGGTAAAAAAGTCTCTTCGCTGGGCTGGGAGCCAATGCGCATGTCCAGGCGCTCTCTGCGTGACAACCATAACAACTACAGAAAGCAACACATTACAAGCCCCATATTTACAGCTCTCCTGGTTTGAGCTGTTTTGGCAAAGTGAAGGACCCTTCATATGATTACCATTATATGCTACATACTCTATATATATATATATATAGAATATCACACTGCATAAAATACGCATGAACTAGGATATAGTGCATAACGGAATATTGGTAAGAATTGTTTTCAGATATGTAAAAGGTGGGACTAGGATTCAATGGTAGGGTTGTGAGGGCGATGGACCAAAAGGCAAGAGGGCCTGGGGGGTGGCCTGGGGAAGCAAAAAAGAAAGAGTAGAGGAGGTGTTGTGTGCGTGCAGACGATTTGTTATGTTTTCTTTCAGTTTTTTTTATGTTTTTTGGCGTCTACCCCCCCCCTCTCTCTCCTTTTTTGTGCGGGGGGGG